GCCCTGATGAAGGAGGCAGTATGACCTCTGAAACGTTGGTTAACATCGACCAGACTACACAGAGCAACAACCCAGAAGACAGAAATCTTCATACTCATCGCCCTGATGATGGAGGCAGTATGACCTCTGAAACGTTGGTTAACATTGACCAGACTACACAGCGCAACAACCCAGAAGACGGAAATCCTTATTTATAAGTTGCTAATTGCATTTTCGTTCTACTGTGCCAAATACCATATTAACTTACCCTGTACTGGCAATCTGATTTATTTTCCTAATTATTGACATGTAATATAACTTCTAATATTTCATATGGTTTGATAATCTGTGTATTTCAATGCTGATTAAAAAAGTGGGTTTTGATTATTTACAATAAGATAATTTACTTTTAATTCTTCTCCGTCATATGTACTAATGTAACATCATTCCCATATATCTATAAGTTTTATTTTTACATACTTTTCATTATCTTCAATCTCATCTGTTGCACTGTATTTGGGTTGATAATCTACTGTTCAATGTGTTTAAGTGTTCGGTCTGTAAGACTAGTTGCAATTTTACAGGCACGCATATAATTATTTTATTTCACTGCATAATTCCAATGTTTCCAATGCGGTCTACTAATAATTTGTACTATTCCTGACAATGAATGAATAACAGTTCCACTTGTATCACACTGATTAAGCAAGCTTGCACGTACCGGCCATTTCATCTCCCAATACACAATGTCGCTGTTGCTTTTACTGTCCTGTTCCACAACTTTCAGATTAATTGCAGTGTTGTCCCATGTCTTGCGGAATTCTGTGTCAATCTGCACTTTCAAGAAGTCTCTGGCAGCAACATCATTGTATTTTCCATACACTAAAAACACGTGGTATAAACAACTAATAGAATAGCAGGATTTATACAGTGAATAGAATTAAAAGAATTCAATATTTTAAATTACGAGGTGCGATCGGAAAGTTTCAAGACTGTCAATAGAGGGCAAACCGGATGTAGCACGAGCTTCTGCCGCTAGGGGGTGCGGCGTACATTCATAGTGAATCAGTGTGCCAGCCGGCATCATCGAATTAGCATTTGTTTCTTAGTTACGGGCGTTTTGGTAGTGCATTACACCGACCCTCCTGCGATTTCGGAATGGCGTGTGCATCAAATTTGGCCAAAGACTCGCCAAAACGGCTACGGAAACCTATGAAATGCTAAAGCAAGCATTTGGGGAGTCCGCAAACTTTGGTGTGGCATTCACGTTTTAAAAATGACCGAACCTCTGTCGATGATGACGAGCACAACGCCCGAAAATGTTACGAAGATCGACGTCGTACCATCAACGACTTGTGCGACAATGTTGGGATAGGCTATGGGACCTGTCAGCTGATTCTAAAGGAAGAACTCCACATGCGACGCATCCTGTCTGAGGACCAGAAGCAGAATCGACTTCTCGTTTGTCAGGAGCTCAAAGATCTTGCAAGAACCGACCCCAACTTCCTTTCTAAGCTCCGTGTGACTTCTTCCTCTTCCCAAAGATGAAAATTCAGCTAAAGGGAAGGAGATGTGAGACGATAGAAGAGATTCAGGCAGAATCGCAGATGGTGCTTGACAGGCTGACAAAGAAAGATTTCCAGGGATGCTTCCAGGCTTGGCAGCGGCGCTGGGATCGTTGTGTTCACTCCCAGGGGAACTACTTCGAGGGTGATGGATGAATTTAATACCTGAGATAAGTGTACGGGTTTTTATACGCGCAGTCTGGAAACCTTTCGATCGCACCTCGTACGGCTAGCTACTCTAGTACTAATATGTCTTTTCATGTGCAAAGACCAATTTTCATTTTATTTTACTATCATGAACACCATGCATGTGAAATCAACACATAAAGGCGTGACAGCCTCAATGGAAGACCTTGAATGCAGCTTTCAAGCTACAGGAATGTCACCAATACTCATTCTTTTAACAGCTGTCTTCTGAGTTGTTGCACCGTGTAGTCTGGTAGAAGTTTACTGACGTTTCAGAGGTCCTTGCTGTTTCCATCATCATCGCCCTAATGGTGGGGGCAACAAGGAGCTCTGAAACGTCTGTAAACTTCTACCAGACTACACGGCGCAACAACTCAGAAGACAACAGCCATCTTCGATTTTAAACGTACTTTCCAGCAGAAAATTATCAGGATCAATCTTACTTCCTCTGGATATCTAGTGCCTCTTATTGCTATCTTCAGTTTTTCATTAATGATGATGTAGTTAATTACAGATTTGGTGCCGCTCACGTCCCATGTGATCTGTATATACTCATGTCTGAAGAACGTGTCTGTAATTTTGAGTTTACTAAACAGGCAGAAGTCTATAAGGCCTCTTTCATTCTTGCTGACAGTTTGTTCACCCTCTGATTCCACGTATTTATCAACTGGTCGAGTCCCGACTCTTGCATTCAAGTACCTGGCCAATCTGAGACATTCACTTTTATTGAGTATGTCCGCAGCTGCTTGTAATTCATCATAAAACTCTTCACTTTCAGAAGTTTTCCCTTCAGCTAGTGCACAGGCACCAATTATTGCTAATGTGTTTGTTAAAATTTTTAATCCGAGTTTCACAATCCTCGGCAATAAAGTAAAAGCAAATTAAAGTAGAGCCGTCCCGCTACACGCCATGTAGGTCGTTTGTGGGGAGTAGAGGCATAGCTCCTACTCATTCTTGACCTCGGAACTAGATGGGGTGAGTGGTCAGCATCACGCCCCGGCCGTGCTTTACCCCCGGGAAAGGACCCGGTACCCAGTGGATAGGAGGCTGGGTGGGCCCCAAAGAAATATAAATTCATAATCTATTATTCTGCTCCACTGGTGTTTCATAACTAATATTGCTACCCCTGATGAAGCTCACTTTTCACTTGGTATTCCTATGTACGTCATTACATAGTTCTCTTATTCTTCTGACCCTTTCTTCAATTTTGTTTTAGTTTCAGAGTTTACTGCTGTATCTATTTTCATATTTCTTAATTCCTGTTTAGTTCGTCCATTTTATGAGTTATGTGTCTTAACATTCCTAGTGGCAATTTTAAGATTCTTAATCAAATGGGAAGCCGTTATTATCCTTTAACTCAATTTTGTTTGTCTTGAGCTTTCGAGGCTCGTTAGACCTACCAAGAACTTGAGCCCCTGCCAACATCACTCTCAGGATCTTAGCGACATAAAATTCAAATGCCAAAATGGCACTAAACTGCATGAATCAAGGTTACTAAACACACTGAGTGGTACATCCCAGCCAACTCCAGAAAAAGAAGTTTTATCATAGTATTATAGCACGTATATGTGATACGTTTCACTGACGATTAGAAACAATGAGTAGAAATGACATCTTGTAGCTTATATGGGTATTAACAGGGTATAGAAAAGGTGGATGGTAGTTCTCTTGTAGTACCTTCAGCAAAACCCTTGGGAGACTTGACAGGTTGATCATCTTGTGCTAAATGGGTTGCAATGCTTTCCACCAACAAATTTTGAATAAATCTTGGGGCTGTGTTAGTGGAATACCCAAATAAAATTTAGTAAGTTATTATGCAAGCAACATATAAACCAGATGTGTTGACCCCCATGGTTTAATATATTTTAAGAATGAAAAACACAACGTAAAAGGAGTAAGTGAAGTGATCGGAGTTCAAGAGACATGAAACTCTTCATGTAATTGAAGAAATTATATTTCAAAAAACAGTATATACCTTTATAAACATACAGCCCATGAAATACTTCATCTTCCTTCCTCCAGACCAGCAAATCTTCTCTTTCCAAAAAAGGTTTCCATCCACAGGTACCTGAAACAGGAATGCATGAGTTGAACACCAATCCCATAAGGTGTACGCGCATGTCATTAATCAGAAGACACACACTATAAATGAAAGATCAGCAATTCAAAATTTTAAAATTAAACACTAATTTTCACTGTACACACACTACCAATCACAGAGTAGCCAAAACCACAGATGACTCACAGTTAAAGATTTGTAAGACTCATTCAGACTTTCTTATACGTTTCAATCACAAATACTACATTTATAACAAGATGTGATTAGAACGTATAAGAAAGTCTGAATGAGTCTTACAAATCTTTAACTGTGAGTCAAAAAATGAAGCATCTTCATTCAAACAAGGGCTTGGGACAGTGTAGCTTAATGTGTCTGCAAAAATCCTAAGCACCAGTTCACCATGTTGTCTAGCAATTTCATGATAGCGCTAGAATTATCTTCATATTATCTGATGATTTTGTATCTTTGCATATTATTGTGCAACATTTTCATATTTGTGCCATGTAATAATTTTAAAAAAACATATTTTTGGTAATTAATTTTTCAGGTTCTCATGGTGACGAGTATGAAGATGGCTGTCTTCTGGGATGTTGTGACGAGTACTCTGGTGGATGCTGACCAACATTTTAGAAGAGTTTACTGCCTCCATCAGTATCTGTCAGATTACACAACAGCATCCCAGAACGCAGCCACCTTCGTTTCACAAGACAAAAAACATAATTCCCATTTCTGATATATATGTGTATGTACGTATTGACTCCCAGTTCTTAGAAATGTCTCCTAAATTTATAGAATATTTGTGCAAAATAAATATTGTGAAAAATAAACCTTCACCTTCACTTTTTCTAGTACTCTCCACATTTTTTCTTTCATACTTCCAACACAATAAATGTAATTTTAAATAGGATAGTCAATGAAATGTATTTAAAAAATAAATCGATTTAATGAAATTATTCATACATATGAATGCCATCTCTCATCATAGATAACTGATACATTTAAAGCACTTTTAATAGGAGAAGCCCCAATACTGGTTTCAAATATAGTTTTGTATTTTTTATTTATTTGTAGTGTTCTGTCTGATGACAGGTCCATATATTATGAACAGGATCCTTCCAACCTCTTCAGGTTGTCAGGGACCTGCTCATACATATATACATTCTTGGCAGAGATGATCAGAAGTGGTTTGCCATTGCCTTCTTCTGTGTGTGAGTGGAGTAATTGTTGGGATGCCACGGAGAAACCGGGGAAGCCCCCGGAGGAAAACTCCGTGATGCCTAGACCACGGCCTTGCCCAACACAAGTTATAAATTTGAGCACCACCGGGAATTGAACCCGGGACCCGAGGCTTACAAGGTTAGTGTTCTGATGATAGTGTTAATATTACTCTATTTAATGATTTCTACTTTGAATGGCGTGTATTTGGATACGAAATAAATAAATAAATAGGAGATGTCCAAATACGAATACAAATTATCACAATAAAGTCACCTTTTACACTTTTCTACTAAGAAGACGACAATTTTTTCTATGCTGTAACAGAGACACAGGAAGGGGAATCCCGTTGAGCAACACTGGATTTCATCCGTCACTTCTCTCCCCTACATGTTGGTGCTGAGAATTTAATAAAAAGTGTTCAACATGGTTGGTCCTTGACTATATTATGTGAGAGGCTGTCAAAAGTTCTGAGATGAAAACTATTAACACACATTAAATTATACTCTTGGATATTACTGAAATGTATTAATTTCTAAGTAGCCCATGCTTGGACTGTTCTTTTTGAATGGTGCCTTGACTTGTTTCCAACACATTCTCATTGTATAAAAAACTACAAAAGCCCCAAACGTACCTTTCTCCAGGCAGTGCACCTTGTTTGAACACTTGCAATAATCAATACTGGGAAGAGCTGCATCAATCACCATGCGCTTATGACACTGCGGACATGTTATTGTGTAGTCAAACAATTCATACACAGTCTCAAGTTCATTTAAATGGCTGTAAACATAATGTCATATAAATGAAATAGACTAATATTGCAACCTTCATCAAGCAAAAATATAAAATCAAAATCTCTCTTAAAATCCAGTATAGAAGTTGTTCACTAATAGTGGAATAATTTAGTACAATTATTTGTGCATTTACATATATTATGCATCTCTTAAACTCACAATGCATATAAATAACACATTTCATGGATCCATAAGTTAGTCAGATGACAATAGGCATAAATTGCAGTAATACAATACACATATTAAAAGCTGGGATAGCTCAGTCAGCTTAGTGTCTGACTATGGACTGGATGACTGGGGTTCAATCCCCAACAGGGGCAGAGGATTTTTCTTCCAGCCTCTGCATCCAGACCAACTCAGGGGCCCACTCAACCTCCTATCCAATGGGTACAGTAGTTAAGAGTGTTTCGAATAATCAACATTTATATGATATGATGTCATCAAAATGGTGTCAAGATCAAAAAGATTACAGGGACAAGGGCCACTTCAAATATGGCGATGGGTTTATGTCCTGGTGAGAATAGTTCTTGTAGTTTGGAAAATAAATATCAAATAAGAATGACCAAAACCATTTGTTTCTGCAGGGAAATTTCCAAAAATTTGACCAACCTGAAAAAAAAACTGTCCTATTTTCCAGTCCCAGTGAAGATGTTTTATGCATCTTGAAACTAAAACTAATGATGGTCAGATTTCCCTGCAGTAACAACTGGGCAATTCTGCTAGTCTTTCTAGCAACCTGGACCACTACTGAATGTTACATTATTACCTGTTTGGAAAAAGTCACTAACATAACAAAATGGACTGGCACTATATGCAATGAGAGTAACTGAGCATTGCGTGCATTACTACCTGTTTTGCTCACAGTTTAAGGAACAATATGTGCAAAGAGAAATGTACATCAGAATCGTGTCCATGTTAAAAGCAAATACAGACCCCAAAATCTCTTCATCAGGAATTCTTTCCTTTTCCCAATTAAACACCGACATTCCAGCAGCACCCATAAGGAATTCTTTCCCTCTCCTTGACAACTGATGTCTCATTTTCTTCATAAGTTCTTTTAAAGCTACTTCATCCCACAGCTTGCTATAAAGACTGAAAATCTGCTGGCATCTTCTTATTCTGTGTGCCAAGACCCATTCACACTGCTGTGTACACTCTCTAACAATGTGAACAGATTGTTCCTTCAAAGACAGAGGAAAGCCCTTTACACCTCGTTTGATGCATTGCAGTAAAGTAGCATGAGCTCCAAAAAATCTTGATACGTGGGAATTACTGTGTACGGCGACAGTGCTTGGTGCACTCCCCGCAAAAGCAGAATAAAATGTCATAACTCCGGCTTGAAACGAATCACCAATAGAAGAGCATTTTGAAATTAAGGAATATTTTGTTTTCAAAACTGTATTGTTACGACTGCTGTTCCTTACAACGCGTGGCCAATTATTGTAATACATTGGCACTTTTAGATTTCTGCCACAGTAATCAGATTAAAAATGGACTCCACTTAAATTTACGTCATACTAAATAAAAATAAACGTCACTGCAGTCCCATTTAACAGACATACTCCGAACGGCATGCAAACGTACAACCGGCGGCTGTTCCAAAAAAAAAATTGCTAAACGCTAAGGGGAAGGCACAGGCAAGGACACAGTAAAATGGGAGCATACATTGTTACCAATCACGCAATACCAACTGAATGGGAGAATGTATTTACAAAGAAAGATTAATGCAAATATCAGATTTATCTGCAACAATAAGTAACGTAACTCTGTGGTTACAGGCGCGTATTATCAACACCGGCCAGATTTCAGGTTTTTACGGCGGTGAGTCTGAATCATCTGGCCCATGGAGATGAATATCCCCTGGGTTGCTGCGCCGCGTACTCTGGTTGAAGACAACGATCTCTATAGGCCAGACGCATTAATTATGACGAGAGAATTCTTGCCCATTATTATTATTATCATTTGTAATTGAGAATATATAACATTTTTAAACTCAGATATCCACAATATAAGTACAAGATACAGATATAACCTTCATGTGCCAAACACTAAACTCAGTAAATATCAAAAGGGAGTTTACTATAATGAAATTAATCTATTCAACAATCTTTCTCCACCCCTCATGCATGTCTGAATAATAATATTCAGACGTTTAAGTTAACAGTAAAAGAGTACCTTATATCTTACTTCTTTATCCCATAGAAGAACTTACCTCAACCAAAAATTCTCGGCTATTATGAATACATGTAAGCAAATAGTGGTGGTGCTTTCTTGTATAATTACTTTTGCTGTAACACAATAGTTGACTGCAGATCACTGCCATAACTATATAATTTACATTTGTATTACAAAAGAGAATTGTATTTGTGCTATGAAATTCTACATCCCTCTCTTAGGCTTATGAGGATGTTACGACTGCTGTTCCTTACAACGCGTGGCCAATTATTGTAATACATTGGCACTTTTAGATTTCTGCCACAGTAATCAGATTAAAAATGGACTCCACTTAAATTTACGTCATACTAAATAAAAATAAACGTCACTGCAGTCCCATTTAACAGACATACTCCGAACGGCATGCAAACGTACAACCGGCGGCTGTTCCAAAAAAAAAATTGCTAAACGCTAAGGGGAAGGCACAGGCAAGGACACAGTAAAATGGGAGCATACATTGTTACCAATCACGCAATACCAACTGAATGGGAGAATGTATTTACAAAGAAAGATTAATGCAAATATCAGATTTATCTGCAACAATAAGTAACGTAACTCTGTGGTTACAGGCGCGTATTATCAACACCGGCCAGATTTCAGGTTTTTACGGCGGTGAGTCTGAATCATCTGGCCCATGGAGATGAATATCCCCTGGGTTGCTGCGCCGCGTACTCTGGTTGAAGACAACGATCTCTATAGGCCAGACGCATTAATTATGACGAGCGAATTCTTGCCCATTATTATTATTATCATTTGTAATTGAGAATATATAACATTTTTAAACTCAGATATCCACAATATAAGTACAAGATACAGATATAACCTTCATGTGCCAAACACTAAACTCAGTAAATATCAAAAGGGAGTTTACTATAATGAAATTAATCTATTCAACAATCTTTCTCCACCCCTCATGCATGTCTGAATAATAATATTCAGACGTTTAAGTTAACAGTAAAAGAGTACCTTATATCTTACTTCTTTATCCCATAGAAGAACTTACCTCAACCAAAAATTCTCGGCTATTATGAATACATGTAAGCAAATAGTGGTGGTGCTTTCTTGTGTAATTACTTTTGCTGTAACAGAATAGTTGACTGCAGATCACTGCCATAACTATATAATTTACATTTGTATTACAAAAGAGAATTGTATTTGTGCTATGAAATTCTACATCCCTCTCTTAGGCTTATGAGGAATCTATGGAATACAAATAAATTATATTCTATCCTATTCGGGTCTAGAAGAGTCAATAGCTTGACCTTTTCCAATAAAGTTGCTTGAGTAATGTATTAATTCATGGTAATAAAGCGTTGAGAATACGGGTAACCAGCTCTCAGAAGGCTAAATAGAGCAATTATCGTCATATTCTAAATCAAGAATTCGGTTTTTGAAGTTCAAACGTTGTAAAATTATTCTTATCATCTAATTTTCATCTGGGTCTTAAAGCACACAGCTACCCATCCCCCCTCATCCTTGGGTCAGGCCATTTGAATTCCATTCTAGAAGTTTGAAATTGTTGGTATTCTACATGTCACAGTCTAACTAGACACGAGTTGTTTGTTGTCGTTATTATGTAACTTTGTAGTAGGTATATTATTCAGAATGCATTTAAGAATCCATGAAAACGGGTGAGGTAAATATGTATTACATATAGGGAAATTCATATCTTCTGCACCAGCAGGCACAAATGACTACCAGGACAAGTATTTTGTACCTTTATGTTGGCAATATGTGCTGTCTGGCGGCAATAGTCGTTAAAACTATATGTTGATAGATTGTGATAAACAGTGAGTAAAAATGAGTGATGCACAGGAAGGTTGTAGTAGTCAGCACTCTTCGCGTGGACGTATTTCAGATGTAACAGAAGATTATCGAAACCTGCTTTATGAAGCAATGTTATTGAGTAAGTAGAATAGAATAGAATTTATTTACATTCCATAGATCTTTCATAGCCATAAGCCAATAATGTTGAAGAGGTCATAGCACAAATATAAATACATAGTTATAATTGCTATTTACAGATTTTTTGAACTACAGTATTACAGCAAAATAATTATGATGAGAAACCATCACCATTATTGCTTACATGTGTTTATAAATTCTTTTACTGAGTAGAGGGAGTGAGATAGGAGATACTCTTTTAACGCTGGCTTAAACATTTTTATATCATGGTTTCTTTCGATAGTTGGTGGAAGATTATGGAATAATTTAATTCCAGTATAGTAAACTCATTTTTGATATTTACAGATGTTAGAATTTGGCACATGAAGGTTGTATCTGTATCTTGTTCTTATATTGTGGATATCTGTGTGTGTGACAGACAGTTTTTTGACGTGAACTCGTAACGGTATAAGCCTGTTTGGTGTCTGCAATTTGTACTAATTCATGCTTTCAGGAGGCTTATAATTATTCCGCTCATGTATTATGGTAGTCGGGAATGCCATTTTGTGTTTGGCCACAGGGAAGAGACATGAGGAATAGAGTAGCTAATAGGCCTTTCTTGTGCTTATCTTGCTGATAACGCACGAAAGACGAAGACTGTATTTACGATTATCGCCCTGATGATGGAGGCAGCAAGCACTTTTGAAACGTGGGCAAACTTCTAACAGATTACACGGCGCTACAACTCAGAGGACAGTCTTCTTCATACTCACCGCCTCGAGAACGTGATCATTATTTCGACACGGTGTTGACAGTCAAAATATGTTCCTTAATGATTAACATTGCTAGTAGGGTTCTAGATTCGTACTGACACTACTTGAGAAATGTTTTGCGACAGCTTCGTTATCTCCATGCATTTAGGAATTTAATGCCACGTTAAAATAGTCCCTCGATGATAATTAGATTGTAAGATATCAAAGCGAATATTTGACTTAATGAATAATGGCGGTTAGGGCAGACGAAGTGAAACGGATAACATCGTACGAAGGGAATTTGGAGTGGACCTAGTTTTAGTTGGTATGGACATTTATGTTTGACTTCTTACCTCGCACACCATTGGGCAATGTTAAAACTAAATCGTAGTAATGAGTCGTTCTTGAAGAATTAGAGCAGTGTGAGTCCTTCGATTTACTGATTTATAAAACAAAATGAACGATGTTATTTAGCTCAAGAAATACTACGTAAAAGTTTGCAGTGTAATTTATACTTTGTTGTCATTGTATCGATTTTAAATCCACCTTTCGGTGGCGTTGGTGCTTGACTGGGAGATCCCACACAGCGAGTACACACGTTGGAACTCTCATGGGGAAGATACCACCTGAAGGACTGAGATGGGATGATGATATTTCAGATAAGCGAGTTGTGAACCTGACTGAACCACACAACATACGAGGCTCGTCCCCCAAGTAAGTTTCCCTGGGGCCGTTTACCGAAACAAAACACAATTTCATGGAAATATTTATTGCAACAGATACAGCAAGTGTCCAGCTATTTTTCAACATATTCGCCACCGGAATTGAGACATTTGTCATACCGTGGGACCAACTTTTAATACCTGTGTCGTAGAAGTCTGCCGCCTGGGATTGGAACCACTGTGTGACAGCCATCTCCGCCTCTCTGTCATTCTCAAAACGCTGACGCTGACGCTGACCGGACAGGAATTTCTTGAGGTGTAGGAAAAGATGGAAATCACTGGGAGCGAGGTCCGGGCTGTAGGGTGGATGATTAAACACCTCCCAGCTGAACTCCTGCAGGAGACTCGCTGTCCGTTGAGCCGTGTGCGGCCTAGCGTTATCACTGACCGCACTTCACAGTCGGCGGGAGCTGGAATAAGAATCTCCATCTTCAACAGCTGCAACGATGCTACTGTGAGAACGCGGGAAGTACCGTTAGTGCATGCGCCATGCTACGTCATTGCTCTATCACGTACGCACAGTCGCTTCGCGCAATATAAGGTTTGCTAGCTGTGGGACGAGTGGGAAACTTACTTTGTGGACGCGCCTCGTACTATAAGGAGTATTTTTTAATAATTTATTTGCCCTGAGAATTTATTTATGTTTGTTTATGGCTCTAAATTTTGTTATAATGGTGCGTTATCTTTGTGAGGACATTCAGAGGCATGTTATGCTTGTCTTCAGATAAAAACATATGAGAGGCTGAAGAGGAAATGCCTGTTGGGCAAGGCACGTTAGATTTTCTTGTTCCGTATTGTTAGGCACAGAGGCAGAAGAGGTGGTGCTTGGTCCCTATGTTGACTTCAGACCTTCTTACTAAGCACTGAACACACAAGATTGACAAACTACTGGGAAGTTAGATGTAAAAAAGTATACTACAAATGATGGTAGGTTAGACAGGTTGACCAATAGAGTAAGCTAAAAAGCAGAGTTATTTTCTAGGAAAACAAAATGAAACCAAAAATATCGGAGTCAATTCACTAAGTTCCATTCTGAGATAGTACCGTGAGTTTTACTTTATTTACATTCCCCATGTCCCAGATTATAAGAGAATCAAGGAACTACCAACAAGTAAACTGAAAATCCAAACTTAATAAGAAGGGATGGAACAGGGCTAAAGAGTGTGGCAGTATTGTTTGTTATGTCTCAATCATGACTTCAGTAACGTGTTTGATTGCTAATTTAACTGCTGGATATTATCAACCAGTCAAAATGGTTTATTTTGTAATTATTAAATGTCACTTATGTGTTTTTAAATTTTGTATACTTTTCTGTGAGGTGGTTGATTTAAAAAAAATACAATGGAAATTAATTTCTGATTTTTGACATTGTACATGTAGCGAGTTAGCTTTATAACAATATATTTGTATTTAATGAACATCGATACCATTTGAGAAATATGTGTCTTTCATTGTTGTACACCGTTCTACTTGTCTCACAAATCTTTGAAACTGCTCTTATGTCTTTTCTACATACCTGAATGTAGGCATGTGTACATGTCAATTTTTTTAAAAATATTTTGTGGTTATGATTAATATTTCAGTTCAGAATCCTGAAGATGCATTAATTGATGCAAAAGTTGTGAATGCCAGCTCCACTGTTTTGAAGCGAAGTGCTCAAGCCTTAGATACAAATCTGCTTTCTTTTACAAGAGAGGAGTATTATAAAAATACAGTAAGTTTATGGGTGTTTCTATCCTACTCTTCTTATTTTATATTGAAATATATTAATATCTTAACTCATGTCTGTGTGTTTGAACTCCACCTAATAACTGAGCCAGTGGATACATATTCACGAACTTCGGCTGTTAGAAATTGTCACGCCTTTGTATTTCTAATTTTCTACCATCATTAATACCACCCCTTTCAAAATCCAGTCATGGCATCCATGTGCAGAGATGGTTAACATCTGCAAATATATAACGGTTCTGGTCCATTGAAGCCAAGATATCATTTTGGGTACTGAGGTGATGATCATAGTGTTGCTAACGATTACTTTATGGTACCAGGCAGCACTTTGTCATATTCGTGCCTAGTCCCGGACTGGGCCTGTGCAATTCATCTATCCATCCCATTCATCGACTTTCATTAAGAATTTGCTGTTCATGAGTGGTGTCATTATAGTCACCATCAGCACATTTTGAATAAAATGGGAAACAAATATATAATTAGTTCTTGTAAACACTTTTGTAATTAAATGTGGTAATTGAATTCAATTCTTATATTTTCAGTTATCTGATCTACAGGAAGAGTCCTCTGTAGTCAGGCAAGGCAAGTTAAACTTCCAGAAATTAGCCTCTAAAGCTGCAGAATGTTTTAGTCGCACACCACCTGCCTCGTATGTATTAGGCGCTTTCCAAGTTGGTGAAGTAGCGTGTGCCAAGAAGAAGGAACAGAAACAAAGGGCCAAGCAGGAAATAGAAAGAAAAAGTCAGCCAGAAAATGTAAGTAATATAATGAATAAATTAAAAGACAAGGTAAGGGAACTAAGTATAAGTCTGATAAAACGTGGCCTGAGAAAGGAAATAAGGAAAAATCCTCTGCCCCCGTCGGGGATCGAACCCCGGTCGTCCAGCCCGTAGCTAGTCACTATACTGACTGAGCTATCCCGGCTCATAATTAAATATGGTAATTGAATTCAATTCTTATATTTTCAGTTATCTTATCTACAGGAAGAGTCCTCTGTAGTCAGGCAAGGCAAGTTAAACTTCCAGAAATTAGCCTCTGAAGCTGCAGAATGTTTTAGTCGCACACCATCTGCCTCGTATATATTAGGCGCTTTCCAAGTTGGTGAAGTAGCGTGTGCCAAGAAGAAGGAACGGAAACAAAGGGCCAAGCAGGAAATAGAAAGAAAAAGTCAGCCAGAAAATGTAAGTAATATAATGAATAAATTAAAAGACAAGGTAAGGGAACTAAGTATAAGTCTGATAAAACGTGGCCTGAGAAAGGAAATAATTATTAGCACAGTAAAAGTCTGATATGACGAGTTTCACCCATAATAAGAAGGAACGCTTTGTTAAATTGAAAGTTTGTAAGAAAAACTTAAAAATTTGGGATTTCTGGATCTGTGCTTATATGAACTTCTATCATCATTTTTTAATGTACAACTCACCACAAAAAAAATTTGTATGTCTAATATTTAATCACTCTGTATGTTTTTTCCTCCTTGGTATATTTTGTGATGCTTCAACTGCATAGTTTCCAATAACAGGATTATTATAAATGATGAATTTCCATTTAAACACTAATGTGTGGTCTGTCAGCCCATTTTTTTTGGGTATTTAAATTTTTAACGAGATTTTATGGTTAAATTACTATGTTAGAATGGGGAGGGCCCTTTTCATTCTACAATTGTGTTAAGAGGAGGAGGAGGAGGAAAGGGTTAAGATGCTGTTTAGTGTTTGCCAGGAAGGAATGTGAAAAACTACAAAAATCTTAGGATATCCTATGTCTGGATTAATATTTAAACATGGGACGTACCACATACGATGATGATCATGATGGTGTGTCAACTTGCCAGAACATGTGAGTGAATGTGTGTATCAAGTACAGTAAAACCCCTCAAGTTGGACACCCCTTTATATTGGACACTTTTAATTGTAACCGGCAAATATCCTATAATTTTACATGTCCACAATACCCTATATCTTGGACAGCCTTTATATTGGACACCTTTAATTGGAACTGGCGAATATTCTGTAATTTTATATGTCCACATGGGGAAGCGAAAATTGGTGGAATTAACTTTAGAAGATGTTACTGAGGCTGGGGTGTGATGTGCAATGCATGGGAGTGGGCTTCAAAAGATTATTATTAATACTATTGTCATTAATTCTTAATTGTAGTAAGCCTAGAGTAGTTAGTGTATGTAAGTAAGCAGATTATTTTGTCATTAGACCACAGTCTGAATTTTCTCCTTCCCTCTATCTTGGACACTTCTGTAAGTTGGACAAATTTTTGTGGAACCCCAAGTGTCCAAATTAGAGAGGTTTTACTGTATGTCCTACACAAATTACAGAAGGTGAGGCAGTACTCCATCTTATATCTCTACATTCCGCATTACTTCCATTTATTTATCTTACTTGACAAATCCTGTTTCCGAAAGGAATCATTTCAGTGCTATATACACTAGTATACCTCTTTTTACCTTTAAAATCATCTTCAGTCTTATGTTTTATACCCTTAGACTTTTCAGTTATTTGAGTATGTTTACATTCTGAATTGGCTTAATGAGATATCTAAAATTGTTTACCCATATTCTAAATTTCCTTTGTATTAGCTACTCCATGCTTATTGTCTACATTTATTTAAGCTGCCTGTGTTATTTCTCCCGGTTACTGTATACCAGTAGTCCCCAACGCGGTGCCCGCTTTGTTACGGAAAGAGGTTATACTGAATAATGAAGGTCGTTCAACCATGAACATTATAAAATCAAAGCGCAGTTCTAGACTTAACTGACGCCCATCTTGACAATTGTTTGCGAGCGACATCATCATCCTACACTCCCAAATTTGAAAAACTGGCCGATGAAATGCAGCGCCAAACATCACACGAACTTCCCACTTGAGTAATAATAATAATTGTACTTATAAAACTACGTATTTTTGATTGCACGGTTTCTTGTATCATTAAACGTCGTGTTGTTTTGCGTATTATTTGGTGTCCATATCTTATTTGTCCAGAGAAAAGAAAATTTGGCTTTGTTAATTGGTTCGTGCCCGCCACAATCTCATAAACTCTCAAATGTGCCCGTAGGCACAAAAAGGTTGGGGACCACTGCTGTATACTTTCAACCTGATTTTAAAAGACTTCCCATTTTTGTCAGAACATGTATAATGCTGTTTTTCTTAGTTATTGTGGACATGTTTTTGTATGAGAAGTTTTTATTCACCTGAAAAACTTCAGCTGGAGACTGTGTGAAAACATTGATTATTTGCTGTAGTTATTAGTATTTACAAACAGTAATAATCGTATTGGATTACACTGGCTGTCTAATTTCAGGTGACATGTAACAAAGAAGAAGATGACATTGAAGATTCTGTACATTATATTATGAATGTTTTGACTGCCGCATACCGACAAAACAAGAACAAACCGATCTGCTTCTTTAAGCTCGTTATCAACCCAGACTCTTTTGGTGCCACAGTAGAAAACATATTCCATGTTTCTTTCCTTGTAAGAGATGGATATGTTAATTTATCATGGGGTATGTGTATTTATAGTGTATAACAGGTTGCTACCTATGTTGGGATGACATACTCAAAGATGTGAAGACGGTGAAGTTCACATTTAAGAATTGCCGCAATGACAGTGAATTTAAACACTATACTGACGCAATTTGACACTTAGGTAATTGGACTATGGCCATACAAATTTACCCCTAATTCTTTTAAGAGGACCTTTAATGTATACTAGACACACGTCTGCCTAGAGTAGTTAGTGTATGTAAGTAAGCAGATTATTTTGTCATTAGACCACAGTCTGAATTTTCTCCTTCCCTCTATCTTGGACACTTCTGTAAGTTGGACAAATTTTTGTGGAACCCCAAGTGTCCAAATTAGAGAGGTTTTACTGTATGTCCTACACAAATTACAGAAGGTGAGGCAGTACTCCATCTTATATCTCTACATTCCGCATTACTTCCATTTATTTATCTTACTTGACAAATCCTGTTTCCGAAAGGAATCATTTCAGTGCTATATACACTAGTATACCTCTTTTTACCTTTAAAATCATCTTCAGTCTTATGTTTTATACCCTTAGACTTTTCAGTTATTTGAGTATGTTTACATTCTGAATTGGCTTAATGAGATATCTAAAATTGTTTACCCATATTCTAAATTTCCTTTGTATTAGCTACTCCATGCTTATTGTCTACATTTATTTAAGCTGCCTGTGTTATTTCTCCCGGTTACTGTATACCAGTAGTCCCCAACGCGGTGCCCGCTTTGTTACGGAAAGAGGTTATACTGAATAATGAAGGTCGTTCAACCATGAACATTATAAAATCAAAGCGCAGTTCTAGACTTAACTGACGCCCATCTTGACAATTGTTTGCGAGCGACATCATCATCCTACACTCCCAAATTTGAAAAACTGGCCGATGAAATGCAGCGCCAAACATCACAC